AATTTCAAAATCAAGGCTTGTTCCTAATATTGCATTTACAATTTCAGCAAACGTATGCTTCAAAAAATTTGATTTAATTTAATTTTAACCCAATTTTTAATTATATATATATAGTATGTGCGACTTCGTTTTATCCTTCATTGGTTGTCAGGATAACTGAGGGATCCTCAAAAGCCTTTTTCTATGGTATTTGATGTTGGACAGAAATTAAGAGAGATAAGAGTTACGGGACTAGCTGAAATTTTATCTGATCCTGATTGTTGTTCTGTGGATATATGCGTTTTTTCTTTAAAAAATAATCTCAATGAAGCTAAGTTGAGTGCTACTCGTCGTGCAAATTATGCCAAGCAAGAAATGGCTGTTTTTCATTTAAAAGTTAGTTTTCATATTTCATGCTTAGTTATAGAAAAGCTCCATCAAAGAGCTGTTCCTTACCTCAAGATGTGATGATCAATTTCTTGCCTTGCATACATTCAAACTTCGCTGTGATGATATTCAAAAAACTATTGGTATATGCAACCATCTTGTAGAAAAATTACCCACAAACATTTCCATTTCTAAACCAATATTCTTTCATTCGAAGGGCCTGATTTCTCAGAAAAGGTATTTTTGAACTCCTACATTTTCTTAGAAAGGACGCTATGCAATATGCTCTGACTGATGTCAAACGAAAGGCTGTGGCTATCGCCTCTACTTTTGGTCAAGAACTCGTTGAGCTGCGCAGTATAACTGAAAATGAATCGGTTAATTATAAAGATTTTACTCTTGAATGCACAGATGACTTGAGCAATCTTTCTAAATTCATGGAACACTTATCTCCCAATTGGCTAAATCTTATGTACAAAACCAAATTGGCCATCCAAATAAAGATAGAAGCCATTTGTGACTTTAAGTCAAGCCATTAGCTTGAATTTAAAGTACTTTTAAATGAGGCGACCACTAGTCACTTTGTTTACTTGGACATTTCGGGTTTTTTTATGGCTCTAAAATGTTCTGGCCAAAGACTTTTTATTTATTGTCACCTATGTCTTTACCTTTAATCTTTTGGGTATTTTTTTGTAATCGTTGGTTGCTTTTTGCATCAACATATACCTATAAAAGGTGTAAATATTCTATCAATTCTTATATGAGCATACTATATTTATCGTTATTTTAGTCTGTATATACGCGCAT